CCGCTTTCTCGGGCTTGGTTGCCATGGAGACAGAGGGGAGTGTGAAGAATGTCTACTTTCGCTTTTAGCCTCTTCTATGTTGCTCTTGTTATCTTAGTCTGCCTAGGCAAGTAACCTTGAGCCCCAGCAGAGCCTGGTGTCATCTTTCCCCTGGGAACTATGAGCCGGGAACTATGAGCCTCATGCTTAGGTGTGATTGGCCCTGCGCCATTAGGGTCCTGCTTATTTTAGGTATAATTGTTTGCTTTGCATGCTTTTCCTTAGTTCTAACACAGAACGTCTAGAGTGGAGGGGGTGAACCGTGGCTCAGGAGCTGCACGCAGCTTTCACACACATTGTGTGGCTCCTGGCAGGGCGGCTGGGGAAGCTAAATATCATTAGCAAACAAATATAATTGAATAAATATCATCCTCAATATCTGCTTTTACCGCTTTTGTTATTATTTTTGGAAGTCTCATTTAATGTTAATAAAAAGTAAATTTGCATATTTACCAGTAAAAACGTGTAGTATTTGTTCATGTCTTGTGACTCTCAAATATCTTACGTTTATTCTATGTGGCTCTTATGTCAAGCAAGTTTGGCCACCCCTGGTCTAGAGTCTGGATCCTATCAATGTCTCAATAAACTTTATATTCTTTTGAATGACTGTTGTTGGGAACTGATTTATCCAGGGGTCTGACAGTGTCCAATTCCCTAGCATTTGACCTGTCTTGTGGCAGAGTCGTCATAGGCCAAATTGTTCTAAATAACTGGGTTCGGTGTGAGCTTGCAGACGCGATAGAGGTTGCGAAATACTCTTTCTTCGCAGCTTTGACTGCCATCTCATAGGATCTCATAAGCGTCCTATAAGATGTTCTTGTAGCTTCGTTGCAGGCACGCCGCCACCGTCCCTCTAGCTGTCTTAGCTCTCACTATATCAGCCACAACTCTCGAGTGTACCAGGGTGCCAACCTAGTGCAGGAGCACAGAGGGCATCGGGGAGCGATCTTGTTGATGGCTGCAGAAAGTCAGCTGTGTCAATCCTCCACAACGAGCCACCAGCAGGCATCGGATCCTGCAGAGCCATTTGAAGCCGCATTGGGTCCATTTGGCTCTACAATGGGCATATATGGCTGTCTCATGGAATTATTTTTTTTAATTACAAATTTTATTTCTAAACCGTCTCCCCCATACTTGGGGCTTAGGGTGGTGTACAACATTCAAAGAGATACAATCATAGACAACTTTAAATAAATTATAAACAAAACAAGTATCAGAACTTTGACTAAGAGGCAAAAATATGTCTGCAGTACTGAATAACTTTCCTGGTCAGCTACAATACATATATCATTAAGGTACCCCAAGACTCCTTTTTGTTTTACGGTTACATGTATTTGTATGAAAGTCAGGCAGAGAGGAATTGCCATTTGTTACACAGCCTCCTATACTTCCAACAAAGCACTCTACATGAAACTAACTATATGTATTAAACATTTGTAAGAAAAACCATGTTTGACTCCATTGTTCACTAGTCAAGTTTTAGAATGAAAGATCTGATTTTAAGACAAGATGGGCACGCTGTAGACAGAAACAGTTCTTAAATCTATGCATTTCTGCACCTAGAAAGATACCTAATCTTCATGAGGGGAATGTGCAGAGCTTTCATTGCCTTCTATTGTCCTTTTAGCCTGACCCTTCGCTTGTGGGTGGACCTTTCCACCTTTCCACCTCTCACTGTAACACATATACCCACATATTGGGTAACCAATAGTTTATTGCCCTACCTTGCTGCAGGGGAAAAAAATCAGAAGGAGGTGGGGCAGAACCCACACCAAAGTCCCTAAGGAAAACTGGAAGTTTTATGTAGAACTGAGCTCTCTAACCAGTAGCCACAGAAGGAAGACAGCATCTAACTGGAACTAAGATACATGTATTAAGGTAGCAGAGGGCGTGTCAGCTTTTCTCAAATATTGAGTATATTGAGTAGATTTGTAGTTTGCTTGTAAAAAACTAAGGTATTTATAACTTTAAACCCCATCAATATGTGAAATATTCCAACTTTGTGCTAAGGTATGCATTTCATGTTAAATTATTTTTCCTTTGATAGAACAGTGAGTATTGCATATATTTCACTTTCCCCCCAAATCTCCAGTTTTTCCCGGCAACAAAAGGGATGGAGAAAATCCTCCCCCATGACTTCAAAATTTTCAAAAATTTTACATCTCTAGTCTCTTGCAGCAAAATACAAGTGCAGTCCAGTGGCATCTTAAACACCTACAAAGTTGAATCCAACTTGAGCTTTTGTAAGTCAGTCCTTGCCTCCTCAGATGCACATACTGCAGAAGAGTTTTCTGCAGGTTTTTATCACCAAAATGACAACAGGGAAGAAAAGAGGAGTCACAGCAGCTGCTTTTTTCTTTCTTTTTTTAGTCTCAAGCACATCAACAATATCTACTAGTCAGGAGGAACACTTTACCTCTCAAGTCTGGCCAACCCAAGCCTAAATTACCTTTCTCCACAGCAGCATTTCTATAGATATGCTATACAAAGAAAAACCCAGGCATATAATCCCAACAATACTACTGTAAACAGAGTATCACAGCAGCAAGAGTAGCTTGGAACTAAAGCAACTGTTCCTACAGCAAGACAGACAAGCTGGAAAATTAAATATACTGTTCTTCTGCAACACATCCTTACAACATGCTCTACTACAGTGTACCTGGTATAAGGAGCCATGCACGAACCTTTTCCTTGATATCCAGAGTAAAATTTATCTAACTAGCCCGGACTGGATTCAACATTTTATTATCTTGGACATGGACTTAGAGGTTTCTCAGGCTGCTGCTAGATTTTGGGCAGCCTGTCTTGCAATATGTAGAGAGAAGATGATCCTTACCCCATGATTCCTATATTCCAATGTTGGACGATTTTATTATATATTATACCAGTTTAACTCCTGTGTATTCAGTTTTATTCTTTGTATTATAAGCTGGCGAAAGCCGTTAAATAAATAAACTTTGGCATCTTTGCAACACATCCATTGAACCTGCATCACACAAACACACACACAAAAAGACAGCTACATACAGTTTTCTACAGACCATTATGCTAACGTCTGAGGTGCTGCACAGTCCATTCTCCCATAAAACTGGGCTGGATGAGGGCCAATAAACTGAAGCCTGATCCAGACAAAACAGAAGTACTATTGCAGATTGGGGTGCTGTTACATTTGTCTTCTACTTTGGGGGCTCAAGCATTGTCTGTGGCATGAGGCACCAATTGCCTGTTTAAGTCAGTGTGCCCCTATACACCCCTCAGAGAGCCTTATACTCTTCCGGTAAAAACTTATTAGTGATCCCTGCCCCCAAAATGGTCCAGCTGCCCTCAACCAGGGCCAAGGCCTTTTCAGTCCTGGCCCCTACCTGGTGGAACTCTCTGTCTAGTGAAACTTGGGCTCTGCGGGACTTGGTTCAATTCTGCAGAGCCTGTAAGACCGAGATGTTCCACCAGGCATATGGTTGAGGACTGTGATGGTTAGAGAGATCTGCAGGCCTCCCCCTCCCTTCTCTCTCGCTTTTCTATGCTGGCTGCCCCCAGTTGTGAAGGATATTAGGACACCATCTGATGTAGTAAAGAAGTTTTAGGTTTTAATTTATAGTAACATGGGTTTTGAATTGTAATTTGCTGAACTACTGTATTGCGTTGTACGCCGCCCTGAGTCCTGCTTTGTAGGGAATGGAGCAGGATAAAAGTCTAATAAAATAAATATATAAGGTGGCATGGCCAGTCTAGTCTTATGACATACAGATCAGATTACTGCAATGTGCCCTACATGAGCTGTCCCTGTAGACTGGAAGCTCCAATTCGTTTAGAATAAGGCAACGTGAGATTAATTACTGGGAAGTGCCAGGATGAGGATTCCCCCCACCACCACCACCAATGCTTAGAATATATGCACCTGATACCCATTTGAGGGCTGGTGCAGCAGCCCCAGCAGATCTTGTTCTCCCCCACCCCCATGTTTTTCCAAGTGGAGAAACAGCCTTGGGGGGCTATTTCTCCACCTGAAAAAGTGCCGGGTGTGTGTGTGAAGAGCTCCTGGAATTGGTGAGCTGTAAACCCAATCCGGATCAGGGCCCCGGGGCCATTTTTAAAGGGCTAGAAATGCTTGTAAAATGGCACTGGCAGTCACAAGGAGGATTCATGCCCACTTTCACTTGTAGTTTCGCCCTCAGTTGCAGCATCCTAGAAGGCATACATACTCTTCCCTACCATATACCTGGTTCCAGTTACAATACATATTGGGTGCGTTGAGACGGGGGATTTACAACGGTATAGGTGCCGGTTCCAACCGGTGTACTTACCGGCGTTCAGACGGCGAACATCTGCCTCCTGTCCCTAACCGTTGTAAATCCCTTTAAACCACTGCACTCTCCCACTAGGTCCCCAAGTGGTGGTATACTGAGTGCAACAATTGCTTTCAATGTACCCCTCCGTCTGATCGCTCTCCACCAGTGTCTAGCCATTTCTGTCGGAAGCCTGAGGCTTCCGTTTTTCCCCCGCCATTTTTTTTTTTGATTGAGCGAGTCCGGGACTTCAGGGAGGCCAGTTTGGTCTTGTAATCTGGGGTGTTTTGAGCATGTGCAAAGATCGCCATTCTGCGAATGGCTGCCTATGCGCATGCTCAAACTGTGTTAAAAAAAAAAACGCCGACGCCCGCAGCGAGTGAGTGGGCATACAGCGATGGGAGCCGCAAAATGGAGGTAAGTGTGATCGGGTTTCAGCCGGCATAAACTGCACCGGTTCCAACCGGTACAGTTTATGCCGGCTGAAACGCCGCGTCTGAACGCACCCATTGTTACTTTTGAGTTGTGTTCTGCAGCTGAATGGAAAGGTAGATGTTTTATCAAATCAAATCAACATAAATATTCCAACCAAATCCTTGTATTTCAACATTTCTCCTCCAAGGTTTTCTAGTAAATCTACTATGTACAGACAGAAAGAAAGAACAAAAGACTCACCTTAAAATCTGTATTATTGATGTATTCAAATACTAATGCTGGAGTCTTTGACTGTAAGATAAGAAAAAAGTTATGGTTTAGCCACATCCTTCTATGAGCCTTCTCCCAATTATTCTAGGTTTCCATTGGATATGCCCCCCAAAATTAATTACGATGTGTTAGTACTTCACTTCACACATTAGTACGATGTGTGGAGAAAAACAGGTTGCTTACCAGTAACTGGTGATCTTCGAGTGGTCATCTGTGCATTCACACCAATGGGATCTAGTGCGCCTGCGCTGGATCTGCCGGTGCCATAGCAAGCTCTCTTAAAAGGATTTTCGTGCCTGGCCCAACTGAGCATGCTCAGGAGCCCCAGTGAGCATGCCCAGAAGGGCAGGCACGGACATCCCGCCAGTTCCTACCAACTGCCGCGTATCAATCTCCTA